CAATTATGGAGATGAGTATATGGAACTTTTCCCTCTGTTTCAATTTTCAAGGATTCACTGTCAGTTTAAAAGAATCAAATCTCTCATGCAAATACTGCTTTATCCCAAATAATACATAGGAATAGAGATCAATCAGACAGCAAACAGAAGGGGAAAATAAATTAAGAACATTTAAAAGATAAATTTAGCTAGTATTTATGTAGCATGTTTTAATGCAGTTGCCATAAGCAAAACGCTTCAAATAATTAACAATGGAGAAACTTGTAAAGAATGCTAATATAAATATTTACAGTGTTTTTTGTGGCATCCTATCTTCTGTTTGTTAGCTTAAAGTAATTTTTAGTGCTGAAAATCCTCAAATATGTGTTCATGAGATACAATTAATAGTGACCAAGGAAGAATCTAATTAGCTTGTTATTTGCTAGGATCACGTAAGATTTAGTGAATTTGAAATAATTTTAAAAAGTCATTTAGCGGGTCGAGACCACATAGCTAAGAGAAGTGGCAGGCTATACCATCCCTAAAAACAGACTAAAGTTTAGTGTATTTTCAAACAGTACTGATTGTCTCCATAAAAATGGAGAAGCTCTGACAAGTGAAAAAGAAACAATTTACCAAAAAAAAAACCTAGTATTCACATAGTCCTGAAACTGTAACATAAAAATGTAAAAGTAGCTATGTTTGTAACTAATCTATTTGAAATTAACAAAATAAAAAGACTGTATATAAAACTTAATGTGAAAAGGGAATACGGAGACTCTCTATGGCTTTTGTCCTCTCTTTCCTCCCTTCTTAAAAATCCAAATGCCTTAAAAAGATTTTGGATTACGATAAAAATGTGTATCATCTAAATGAAAAACAACTGATAAAAAAAACTGGACTTGACTGCTTAGTTTCAAAAACTTTATGAAATACTCATCATCAAAACCAGAATATCTTAACACTATTAAAGAGATTCACAAAAGAACAGGAAATGACCTTTCGCAGATAGAGAGAGAGGTGGGGTACAGACATACATGTAATCTCTAAATAACTTAGGCAATATTAGAAAGGTGTAAAGAGAACAGTTTTTGGAGTTCCCCTGACTTAGATTAAAATTCTGGCTGTACAATTTGTTTAGCTTTGCAACCTAGGCAAAGCAACTTCCTCTCACTGACTCTTAGTCCTACCTATAAAAACAAGGGTGTTGAGGACATCACCTATGACTTTATAATCCAACAGCTGGTAACTATGAGTCCCCCTCTACCCTTGAAATCAGCAACATATATGGCTACCTGATTAGCAGTATATTTTTAAAGATCAGAATCTAAATCAGTGAAACAGTTTTTGGTGGGTTTTTGGCGGGGGTGGGTTGGTTTGGTTTGGTTTTGTAATCTTTACACCTAACATGGGGCTTGAACTCATAACCCCTAGATCAAGAGCTGCATGCTCTACCGACTAAACCAGCTAAGTGCTCCCAACCTAGCACTTTAGAAGTAAAGGGCCGTGACCTCAGAGCCTTGCGAAATGTAAGAACATCTTAGAGCAAAATGCAGTTTTATTTTTTCTGGTCCTGTAGGTGATTATTCTCTTGGCGTCACAGACTCCTTGGGAGGAACTGATGAAAACCACACACATACTATACTTTGTGTTAAAAGCTGCGTATGTCCACAAACACATTTTCAAAACCTTTCTGGGGACTCACAAACCACCTAAGTATCCTAGCTAGACTCTTTTTCCAAAGATTTTAACAGTTGGGAAAATGTCAATATTGCCTGCATTAAGAAGTCTGAACATACTCCAAAAGGCTGAAAAAACAAATTTGGTAAACAACTTCAGAAGACTCCCCTAAATAGTGAGCTTTCTGAATATACTGTGGATGTTTTTAGTTTCTGACCTATAGAGGTGCCTGGGTGGCTCAGGTGGTTAAGCATCTTGTTCTCAGCTCAGGTCATAATCCCAGGGTTGTGGGATCCAGCCCCGTGTGGGGTACCATGCTGAGCATGGAGGTGCCTGGGATTCTCTCTCTTTCCCTCTTCCTTCGACCGCCCCCCCCCCAATCCTGCATGCATGCTCGCTCTTTCTCTCTAAAATTTAAAAAAAAAAAATTTTTTTTTAAAAAGGCATATTATAAAAACAAATTTTGGCTTATATTCTACTTGGCTTTTTGAAATACGTTATCCAAAAGATTTTCTTGCAATATAAGAAAGGTAAATGAATCCCTGTATCTAATGGTATTACCTATAGGCATTCACGGCAGGATAATTCTATCTCTGACATAAAGCAGACATTTTAGGAATCTAAATACATCTTGGATTAACTCTAGCATTCTTTTTTTTTTTTTTTAAATATCTGTACAAAAATTTTATTTTTGTTATTTAAAAAAACTCCAACTGTCAGCTCTGCCATTGCACTTCCTGGTCACGTCTTCTATGACACGGCACTGATCTAAGCCGAGAAACATGTTCAGAACACATTCGTGCCTAATGCACTGTCACAGAAGCACAAAATAAGTGCTAAGAATTCAATTAAATACCTATAATTACTTCATTTTTTTCTGCTTCTTTGTGTTTTAGAGTACATTTCTGCTAGTGCACATTTAGTATATTTTTGCTTCTACTACGGGAATTCAACATTTTTCTAAGGTTGTGATTATTCTGAAAGGGTAAAATAGTATTTCCCCACATAGTAGTCTGGGCTGCAAGTTAGTTTGTGCAGTAAATCGGGAAGTTTGATCTTGGCAATTATTTCACTAGTTGACTGCCAGCATCTCTTTAATCCAACACTGCACATGTTTCTAACAGATTAAAATACCACAGATACTCCTCTGAGTCTACTATCCTTCTGCTCCAAACATACGGTGGCTCCTCACTATCAAATGTAAAGTTCAAAAGGCCTCTCCAATCTCTCCAAAAATACTTCCTGCATCCTAAATTCTTATTTCTCGCCATAGCAGTTCTCTCCCTGCCCCAGGCAAAATCAGGTCCTTTCTTTAAAGATAACTCCTACTTTGTTCCTGCCCCTATCATCCACTTGAGCTATCATCCTCCTCATTTCATTTCTGTCACTCTGATAATTCTTCCCATCTCTTTTCTCTGAAACTCGGACCTTCCCAGCAATCACTGTGCAATTCACAAGGCAATTAATCACATCCTGTCTTTTATTATTTCTTTCTAACTTGTGTGTTTATCCCTCCATGGCAAGATGCACTGATGGTAGGGATGGGACCATGCCTGATGCTCTTCTACAGGATCTTGTCCCTACGTCAATTCACAACATGTGGCAGCCTGTCTGTGTTTGATCTGCTGAGGTTACTAGAAAGCCTGTATAGAAAGGTAGTAAGTATGCATCTCCTTAACTTACAGAATCATGTAATAATCCTATCCAAGGCCAGCATTTTTATCCTGAGCATTCCTCTTCTGTTTCATGACTCTGTTGTTTATTTATTCACTGTTTAGAGAGCTACTGTGTATAATAAGTACTTTTATATTTTTTAAAAAGTTTAAAACATTAATCTAAACATTAATTTAGGGGTGTGAAATAATTTTTAAAATTGTATCTGGAGTAAGAGCAGCCAACTTTCTTAAGGGACCTTGAAGAGATTTGGCAAGGCATAATGAGAATTTTTCAGGATTACAAACCAGGATTACATTTCCAAGCACATGAGGAAACATGAGCACTTAAATGGTAATGGTTAGTAATGATCAATAACTACCATCTGAGGGCTTTTTTCTTCTAACCATGATTCTGGATGCTGTGTGGAACCTAGGATCAGTCTCCCTTCACTCCACACCAGCCAACTACCATGGGCTTTTCAATTGTGTCAACAATTTGTCCTTGTTTGCCTGATTTAGGGTTCTCTCTAAATGTACCACATGACTTATCTTTATTTTTAAATGAATTTTCACAGCTTTAGGTACAAGTCTTAATACTTCGAGGGACCGGACACAAAAGAAAGACTCAGAACCACTGCTCGAGACCAAGACATAAAGCCTGCTATTAGCAAAATACAGTATTACTTTTATTCAACTCACTAAAATGCATAAATTGCAAAATTTTTCTTTTTTTGCAAGCATACTTTTATTGCTGAGAATAAAGAAATGCTAGGACATTGCTGTGCAACTTGCAAAATGGCTCAACTGAGAGGATACCTCATTTCTACCAGTGGTTGATGTCTCTCTTAAGACCTGCCCCCGAGGAGCTGGAGATTTGGAGAGTGAGTCTATTTCTTCTCAGTGAGTTTAATTACTAACTTAGGCTCCCTTCAATCTTTCAAAAATGTATGTTAAAAATTAAGTTATTCATTTATAGATGTCCAAAACCTTCAAAACCCTTTAAGGAAATACTTATTTGAATTACTGACCCTGAAACGTAGGGGAATTAAAAAATAAAAAAAGAAGGCACTGTTTTGTCTCCTGGTAGAAGTGCTAAGGAAAAAAAAAAAAAAAAAAAGAGGTGCAGCTGACAGCTCACTGGTATTTCCAAGGAAGGTAAAGGGATAGAGTTTTGCTCTGAGGAAGCACAGCAGGTTACAACAAAAAATGGTTATCTCAGTTCAAGACAAAATACCTACAAGTGGCAACATTAAGGTTAAGAAAGAAATTACCCTCAGGTATTCGACTGAGCACAGAGTGGGCACTGAAAGTCAGGTCTTTAATAGCCCATTTCTCTATAATTAAGTGCTAGTGATGGTAGCAGGCTGCTGAAGGAGAAAAGGAGATATTCAAAAGCATGTTCTTCACCTCAAAATTAAGATTTAAGGGAGAAGCAGAAGGAAAGGCAGACATACAGGGAGAACGTAAGTACAGCCCAACAAAAAGGTACTTGATGCCCATTAAGTGACAACAAACTTAACTACAAAACAGAACTGTATCTCTACCGCCATTTCTAGACAGTTCCTTAAACTGACTCCTTAACATGAAACATACTAATAGCTATAGATTTCATTATGTGAATGTATTATAACTAGTATTCACATCATAAAATTATTTTAAATGCTTAAGAAATAAAAGAAAACTTACCCCATCACTTTCTCGATGTGGATTCAGCCTACTATAAACAGCTTCAATAACATTGCGCCTGAAATAAATTATGCATTAGTTTTATTAAATTACAATTACCAAGCTTCTGAGTATTTAAAATACTTTATCCTCAAAAATTAACTGTCATGCTAAATGTTTGCCAAGAACATAGTTTCTACATTTCACTTAGAATTTGATTCAGCACAAGCCATTTGTTCTCATTTATAAAGGAAAGAAGGGCCTTCACCTTTAAATCACATAATAAATTATTCCCTTAAAAAAAAAAAAAATCCCTTTGGATGAAATTTTAAAGTTCTTCTCTAGTATAAGAACCATCAACTCATCTCATCTTTTGATAATTGATATACTTCTTCTCCAAAATTACTTAATTACTAATTATAAAGGAACTCAAAATTAGTTCTTTTTGTTCTACTTACTTGCCAGCAAGACCTCCCCCAGGAGGCAAATTTGGGATATTTTCTGCAGACAAGATGCGCATGACATGGGCAAGATCAGGCATTCCTTCCTCACCAGACTTCTCCATAATTTCTGCAGGTTTTTAAAAAGAATTCCTAAATTAATGTGTTTACTCAAGATTCAGAGAAAGGGCAACTATTCGGTAGTTATCAATTTTATTTATTTATTAATTTAAGCTCAAGTTAGTTAATATATAGTGTATTATTAGTTTCTCTAGTATCAGTTTTAAAATGTAAAAAAAGCAAACATTACCTTACTATCACACAAGGAATAAAAGTAATATAAAAAGTTATCTGCAGGGGCGTCTGGGTGGCTCAGGTCATGATCCCAGGGTCCTGGGATGGAGCTCCGCATCAGGCTCTCTGCTCAGCAGGGAGCCTACTTCCCAACCCCCTCCCCCCCCCCCCCCCCCCC